TTATGCACAGCGTTAACGAGCTAAACTTAAGCTATCCCACTTAAATGATCAGTCAAACATAATTACAGACCAGGGTAGCATGCATTTAAAACCTACAGTGACATTGGACTTTGAGAAAAAACCCACCACTCAACATATTTAATGAAGTTGGTCATCCTATCATCTGGTAAAGCATATGAGAGACTTAAAACATACTAACCGAGACTTTTGTAAATCTTTCACAGTAGCAGCAGTGAGCTTTAAGTATATTATACCTGGAAGCTCAAAATAATAAAATAGCTGATGCTACAGTAATTGTAGATTTACAGTGGCCTATTCTCACTTTCTTTTATTTAACTCTTAATTGATACCTGTTTATCTTTATTTCTATGCTCTTGCTTCTTAGATCTAATTTTGTGAATAATTCACCATTATTACACAAACAATGATACACACCTACTGGTTTTCTGTTACATTTTAATTAGTTTCCTCTGTTCAGAAGTACCTTGATTTTTATTATGCAAATGATATTTTGATTTTTCTTGTCCTAGCGGACTGACTATTTTAAACGATACATCAAACATGCGATTTTACAGCCAACTGAATGAGGATATCCAAGTGGGATTCATCATACAGTCACTTGCTCTTCTCTTTCATATATTCTAACACGTATTTCTTCTGATAACCTTCTGGTTTTAATTATTCTAATCTTCAGTAGTATGCTCTTGATGAGGCATCATACTGGCAGTGCATAATATATTAAGTCCGGAATGAATACGCTATGTGTAAAGGACATGAACTCGAAGTCCTAATACAATTTTAATGTAAGCTTTGCTTATCTTAGCAGCATTGTTACCCTGCATTTTAAAAAACAAGGATAAGCCTAAGATGAAATGTTTAATATAATGTGCATTTCCAAAATAAAAACAAATGCTTTGCTTTCTCTTATTACGACAGATATTCCCTTTCATTTCACGTTCTAAACTAAATTTTCCAACCTATTAACACTTTCAGTCTTCTAAAATTTCTGATGCTTCATTTTCAGGTGAATGTCTTACACATCTCCACAATATATATTCTTTTGATGTAGTTGTGTTCTCTGATCTCGATGTTTTATTTGCGAAGCTTTCATCGCCCTACTAGGCAACATCTTCAGCGCATACTTCAATTTGAAGTGAGCTTATAGGTTGCTCCACGAGTTTACTAGTCATCTCTACAGGTGTTCTTGAACGTGTCTGGTCCTTTTTGTGTGTTTTCACACCCTCTAGACTACTTGTATTGGAACTGATTGTTTTCTTGACCTGAAGTTTGACCCTTTGTGTTTGAGATTTCCTTCTCATCGATGTCGATGTTTCTATTAACTGACAATTCACTGGAATACCAGGCTTAGAAAAATTCTCTAGCATTCTTGGTGTTTCCTCTGTCTAATATTCGAAAGTTGTCCCAGTCGAATTGATGTTCGCGGTTGTCTGTATGCAATTATATGACGGAGTGGATGTCATGTCTTTCAACGGCTAGTTCGTGTCCATGGATGCAAATACGAAGGGAACGTCCACATTGGTCAATGTAGTATTTTTCGCAGTCGTTGCAATTTATTATGTAGATGATGTTGGTTTTATCTTCTTTCGTTGCCGAGTCTTTTGGTTGACACGGAGCTGAATGAAGTGATTTCCTTGATTTGTGTGCGACACCAATTCCTAAGGGTTCGAAGAGTCTTGCGATGATTTCTGAGATGTCCTTTATATACGGTAGGGTAATTTTCCTTGTGCTTTCCTTGGCGGTCTTTGATTCGGTAGGTTGGCTTGGAAGTAGATGTCTTTTTATGAAGTTCCGTGGATACCGATTCTCTTGGAAGACGTCCACGAGATATCCTTCTTCAATATTCCTTAAGGTAAGAGTGCTACAATATGTTGTTAAATGTGTTTACCTCAATAGCAGAAGTTTTAGCTAAATACCTGATAACTTGAAAATATCTGTATGTTGTAAAATAACTCATCACCAAAGACATCTTCTAACTGAAAAACCCAAATTCAGCTGTCCAGTACTCCCAAACTTTCCAATGGTCCTGTAATCGATTTCAGTTCATGTTGAAATCTTGAAACCAGTGAAATCCCAGCCAACCTACATTTGAATATCAATCTGATGCTCAATAGTGACTGGCCCTATTCAGGTAGGTAGTTACCTGTGTTCTGTTGGGAAGTCGTGACCAGGGAGATTTGGCAGGTCGGGTGTGAGGACATATACTCGCCGATGACAGTTGCTAGTGGTCGCACCATATCAAGAATCGGCAGATGTTGGAATTCAAAGACCACTGAATCGGGTCCCAGTGGCTTAATAGTCTACGAGATCGCCTTGTAACCAGAAGGTCCTGAGTTCAAACCTCATTTGTTGCGTACTGCTGAAGTGGAGTCCCATATTAGGCTAACGAAACAGCTGTCTGGCAGTACTCCCAGGCTTTTCAATGGTCCTCTAACCGATGTCAGTTCATGATGAAATCCTGAAACCAATCAGATCCATGCAAATCAACACTTAAGTATGTATGTATTTAACATTCTTTTATTTTAAATTTCAAAAATTCAAAAATTTGATTCTACTTCAGTTAGGTAATCTCCGGTTCAATCACAAAAATTAGTAGATAAGAGGGATAGAATTAGTAATTATGTCATAGTTCTAATATTAATGTGATAAGATAATTAGTCAGTGTAGACATATGTAGCGATTATGTGTGAGTGTTAAGGTGGAGATGGAGAAATAATTTTGTCACAGCATTCGGATAATAAAATAGTTCATTCATTGATAAATAAATCGTAAAAATAAAAGCAAAATATGTGATTAAAACTGAATGTTATCATGGAAATCATAAAAGTTCAAACAGGAATAATATATTCACAAATGTTTAATGCAAAGAAGATAAAAAATTATCATAATCTTGTCTATTTCAAGGAAAAAGAGGCACAGAGATAAGAAAAACGTCTCATTAAACTTGCCATAACAGACAAATTAGACTGGAGAATTTAGATGCCTTTTCCCATTTCTTTTCTTCCTGAGTGAAACATAGAACTTTGAAGTTTCAGTACAGGCGTGCTTTTTATGCCTATTACCTTTCCCATTTATGCCAATCCCAACCTAAATGACAATGATGATACTCTGTATGCAATAGAATAAGCGGAACTCTCATCACTGCTGTACTGGAAATTCATTAAGCAGACTAGCGTTGATCTCTGATAGAGTTCACTGTATCTGCTCAATGTTTAAGAAAGTATAGATGGCTTTGCCAAATGGTTCTACAAAATTAAACCTCTCCAAAGAAATAGTTAGTTCTGTAAGTGTGTAAAGAGGTGCCTAGAAGTTTATGCTTCGTCTATACTGGGTTTATTAGTGGCGAACAACTTTCTGTCTGCTAATTTTCTACTCTCCAATGTTAGTCTTATGGTGTATACATCTCCCTTGACAGATAAAGTAACAAAGAAATGTCTTTGTTATCGACTATAATCATTTTCTATTTCTTCATTCTTATACAATCATTCATTTATAACGTTTTTCTACCGCCCTTATTTTATCAGTAATAAAAATCATCTGTACAAATATTCCCCACTCAAAACACTGTGATTTGAATAAAACTCCTTGATAATTTGAATAATCATGAATACGCGAAGTGACTAATCTACAATCTTCTGAATCAAATTCCACGCCCAGTTTTGCCGTTTATTCTCTTGAATATCATGAAAGTAAGAAATGGTAAATAGCCTTCATCCTTCATTTCATAAGTTGGACTGATAACTAAGTGGGTCACTTTTATCACAAAATAAAAAACCTTAGCATTTATGTGATTACACCTTCCATGAACCTGCAATTATTGAAAACAAGGCACCTATTTCAGCGTAGAGGTCCTTTTCGGTAAATTTATCTTCTTTAGCTGTACAATCGCATTTACCTACAACTTTTTCACGAAAGAGTGTAGAAACAAAAGGGATGAGTTGTCACAAACATTGCTGTTAATATTAGTTAATGCATAAGAGGAGTTAAATAAGTGCACTGGAGTTACGTAATAGGCAGAAAAATTTAATGTATGGGCTTTAATCAGGATGCACATGGGAACAAAGTAAAATATGGAATGATATAAGAGTTCTAAGGAAAAACAAAAATTATAAGAAGTTAGAAAAACAAACAAACAAAAATCGAGTCAGTAGAAATCAACAACGTTGTTAGCAGGATAGTAAGAGTGGTTGCGTAGCTGCTGTTTTTCTCTTTGAATGGCCTAAGCTTCATCAATCCAAAAGAGACGAATGTGTATTGTCTTTGGTAGGTTACTCTTCATTTTGCAGATTACTTTGAAGAAGAAGTTTGTTGAAATGTACAAACAAATGTTGATAAAATGTTCAATTATCGCACTTCTTATAGAACCACTACTACACTTCTTAAACCATACGTGATAGCGTTCTTGAACCCTTTTAGACAGGGCATGCTTCGAACTACCAATGTACCTGGCTCCTCCTGATTACAACTCATTCAATAAATTATTCATCATATTACGTAACTCCAATGCACTTGTTTAACTCCTCTTATGTATTTACTAATATTAACAACAATGTTTGTGACAACTCATCCCTTTTGTTTCTACACTCTTTCATGAAAAAGTTGTAGGTAAATGCGATTGTACAGCTAAAGAAAATAAATTCACCGAAAAGGACCTCTACGCTGAAATAGGTGGCTTGTTTTAATTAATTTCTAGGATTAAACGAGAGTTTATTAATTGCTCTTCTAGATGATCCTATTTTAATTTCCGCCATCAGTGTGTTAATTCTATAACTTTATAATGGGAAACCCGGTGTTACATTTTCTTTCTGCACGTTTACTGTACAACAGAATAGTTGCAAGCATTATTCCTAATAATCAACAAAAACAGGACGTCAACGAACTTGAAAGTAATGTCCAAAAACATCAATATTTCATATTTCTAAAACTCTGAATATTTCCTTTAATCAGAATGTTTAAAAACATGAACACTCTTTAACCTAAATGTGGGCTTCATTGGAGAATTCTAGTGTCATTCGACATAAGGCTTAAGATATTCCAAAGATCATTTTCAGAAGTTGACCTCTGAATTTGTTTATTTTTTTTATTTTTAAACAACAATATCAGCTGTCATGAAGATGCTTGTAAAAATGTTTTCAAATGTTTATGAAAATACACTCAGCTGTCTCATATAAAAAGTGTACAGAACATTTAGAAATTACATACTGAATGCATTTAAAACATTATAGAAGCAGATTACTGCTCAATGTGTTGCTTAGAGTGTGTAGTTTTTTTCATGTTAATGACGATTATAGTTTTACCTACAAAATTGTTCAATTCGATTTGTACAGGATAATAGCCAAATTTCCAATAAAATACCGAAGACAGAATTCAAAATCACATGCATCGAAGCTGAAGCAATATTTTTTTAAAAAGACATCAAATTATTCGAAATAAGCAATAGCAAGCAACTAATTTCACTATGAGTTAAGCTGTGTAAGATTACTTTAATTGACAGACTTATTTTCATTTCAAAAAATACTGATCAACACCAGGATTTGAACTAATAATTAAGGGTCCTAATTTTGCCAACGTTCAGAGTTTATTAAAATCCTGGCCATCACTGCCAGAGACATTTTAATTCATTGGTGTGACTTTTTATATCTGCTAGAAGCATTTTCGACTTTGATAATTTTCTGAGTAGCTCATTTTGTCATCAGCAATCAGTGATGCTAGAGTACTACTCTCTTGATCCTGATTAAACTAACCTATAAATAATTCATATGTCCATATGAGGCCTTTACTTAAAACTATTTTGTGTATTCTAACGGAATACAAATGTAACTGAACATTTGTTTCCAAGTTTCTTATAACTTATTGAGTGGTTTACTACTGCCCGTCTTAGCATATTTTCAAATCGAAAGTCTACTACTAACACACGATGTGTTTTTTGTTTTAAATCTTTTATATTTTTGTAAACACAGTGTCGAAATGGTTGGGATTGAGGATAAGAGCTCTTCCGAAGTGTCTTCACGCACATCAAAGCAAACGTAGCAATAGATATTCTAGATGAGTAAAAAAAGTAATAGAACACCTGTAAAGTAGTCACACGTAGTATGTGATGTATTTACACCATTCTGTAATGCAAGTTGTGAGTAACCACCTCCCTTCTACCTATACAAGTATACTGAAACGAGATAGTGCCAAGTTTGATTTTTGGTAGGTTGTATCCTACCTCATGCTTGGATCTTTGTATATCGTATAAGAGTCTGACTCTAGTCCACAATTATTGTCTTAAATTTTCGAATGAAAACCACATACTCCATAACACACAGTTTTCCACTAAAGTGTTGCTAACATTTATCTAGTACCGTCTGGTTGCCAAAAGAAGTAATCATCCCCTTACCAGAATCTCATCAGAAATGCAGTTCAGCCTATTATAATTTTGTGGACAAACATTGTGAAGCAATAGTGGATAAGTTTTGCAGCTCAGGTGTGTTCTTTAGTTGGTTGACATAATTGTAAAGTTTAGTTGTCTTCCTAGACGTCTTCAGAGCTGACTTCAGTGTGAAGTGGACTTTTGTAATTCTCATTGGATGAAATACTCGTCTTTTCTGGTGGTCCGGACGTTTCGATCCTATGACTTATCTTTTATTGATTGGTAGTTGTGGTGAGTATCCGCATATATGTAAATGGCATTCTTCATGTACCTTGTGGCTAAAATTCTTCCCATTTATCCAGCTGTATTGATGTCCATATTTATCCACATGAACTGAAATGAATGAGTATATTTTGTGCCTTTTGATTGCTAGTTTTTAATTTTCTAAAGTTTGGTTTGTAAGGGTTTGTTATGTTTTTACGAGTCAATCACGGATTGATATCAATTAGAGAACCATTGAAAACCAGGGAGTACTGGACAGCTGCTGTTTCATCCTAGTTTGGGAATCATCGGTAGTACGCACCCACTGGGATTCGAACCCAGGACCTTCCGGTTACAAGGCAAGCTCGTATACCATTCAGCCACTGGGACCCGATTCAATGGCTCATGAATTCTAACTTCTACCAATTCGTGATTTAGCGCGACCCCAACCATTGTCGTTGGTGGGACATCCATCCACACACGTGACATTTAATTGGACCTCACTGCTAGTTTTTATCCGCGAATATAATGAAGAAGGGGACGTCCCATTTGACAAATATTGTGTTTTTTGCAGTTAATAAAATCTGTCTCATACATGATACCGGCTTGATCTTCTTTAGCCGTTGAGTCTTTTAGAGTATGGCAAAGGGAGACTGTATTGATTTTTGGACGACATCTATTCTAAACATTTACTTGACTCTGACAGTGATTTCGGAAATGTTTTACATCCATTCATATCAATTCACGTAGACAACTATGGACATCAGTTCAACTGGGTAAATGTAAAAAATTTTAGGCTGAAGGAACATGAATAATACTAGTGAATTCTTAAAATCTTGCTACTCAGATTGATGGTAATTAACAGACATGTGAATGTCGGCCAAAATTTTCAATCAATATAAAGTAAGTAACACAATCGAAAGATCAGATATCAGGGCAACCAAACTAAGAATATCAATAGAAATGAAGACAATCATAAGAGAATCTCCAGAGGCAATCGATCATAGTCGGAATAACCAGAACAGCTGGATGTTTCATCCATAGCGAAACCTAAAAACTCACTTCACGTTGAAGTTGGCACTAAGGATGTTGTCTAAAAAGCTCCTCAACCAAACCATCCAGCTCAGAGATCACAGTGATAACAAACCAAGCAGTAAAGAAGAAATAAACCATTTCATACTAGAAGCACAAAAAAATGAAAATATTTCCGTTTCAATACTCACCTTCCAAATGATACCCCAACTTTACAATGCCAATTTCCAGGATACTTGGTAGTCATGCTTTTCGCCACATATCCAGCTATTTCATCATATGAAGAATACTTATTCATAGCTTCAATTGTTAAATCAACAGCACATTGTTGCATGTCATCTTTTATTGATTGATTCATTATTTCAGTCTTATTAACTTCCATATTGAAGTAAATAACTCTAGAGTGAACAACTCTGATTCAGTATGTATGTGACCTTTATAACACACTTGACTAGTTGTAGTGGCTAAACATCAGTAGTGTTCACCAATTATATTAAGACTTCTGAGTTTTTAAGAAACTGCTGATTTATGCACTAAATTGTTATAGGGATTCCAAGCAATAGTTAATAATGCATTGTTAAAAAAATGAAACCTTGCTTATTTTATAATTACCACAGTATAAAAGAATGCTGAGTTTATTGTTAGCAGTTACCACTACTAATTTGCTAGCAACTTCTCTCATGTTATGACTTTTAATGAAAACACCAGTTTTGTACTGAACCCCACTAATTATCTATTATTATTATTATTTCCTTTAATTCCTAGAGGAACATAGGGCTTCAGCCGCGCGTCTCCACTGCGTTCGGTTCTCTGCTAGAGTCTTCACCTGGCTCCAAGTCTGCCCACATGCTTTCATCTCCTCTTCACATGACCTCCTCCAAGTCACCCTTGGACGACCAACTCGCCGCTTCCTTTTCGGGTTCCACTCGAGGGAGATTTTTAAGATATAAACAAACAAGGAGACTTAGACTGCTATTAAAAAAGATCACAAATAGGTATAGTGGAAATTGATCACACCATTATACCTTTACAGATAGAAATTCTGTGCTCCAGCTTACCAGGATGTAAGGCTCAAATAATGAGTTTATTTCTACCGAAGTGCAAACTACTGACACTTATTTTCACAGTATACTAGAAATATTAATATTCTCACTGTTCGATTCACCAGGTATCACAGGACAAAACTAAGTGCGTTTACTTCACAAAAACGTAAAATCTTCGTTATTTACAAAGAATGCTTATCAAGGACGAAAGGGGATTCAAAGGCTACTGAAGGTTAGATGCCAGATAGGCTTTTTCTCATTAAATAGGGACCTTATTTCATTGCTAAATGAACACAGAAAGAGGTGTAGGCTGTTTTTTCCTTCTTTATGAATGTTTACTAACTAAACAGACTTTTTTTGAGATAATTAATGAAACTACTGTCAACTGCACAATCACTCAGAGTATTTTTAAGTAGTATTTTAAATAATGTCTGTAAGCTTTCTTTACCTATAACAGTGGTCAGATTTTCTATTCATGCACACATTTAGTCAAGTGCCAGTTTTGTCTAGTGACTGTAGTGTACTTTTGTGTGACCATTTCACGCGTAGCATGTAAAGTTAAGATCAGTGGAATCTATTTGTAATGTAATGAAAACTGTCAAATTCAGTATTAGTGTTGAACTCTATTGTATTTTGGTCCGGAGGATCTAGTATCTGGTTGCATAGTTTGTCTTTATTTATCTTAATAATCTTCATAAATAATAAATAAACCAGCCAATGGAAACAGTGAGGGTGTTATTTTTACTCAGTACCTCCACCCTTAATTTCACGACGAATAAGAAGACGAAATGGCATTAGTTTATGGACTTCAATCAAAATTACCTTCACTCCACGTTTAAAGTTATATATTGCTCGGTTCACAGTACAGACATTAACGTTTGAAACACATGACTTGAGACAGTCTGTTGATGAGGTCACATAGTGAACTGTTTACATGGCTTCAAAAGTTTGAAAGGTTATAACAATCTGAGTTCAAGTATGACCTGTAAAACTGAGCCATATGTCCCTCCTGTCACATTGTATCTATTTTGCCGATTCGACACCACTACATTTTAGAGGATTACTTATATTGCTCATCAGGATTAAATAACTACGTGATTATAGAGCGAGATACTTCAAGAAAAGGCAGTTTTTGATCAAACAAATGGTAGTGTTGATCCAAAATTGACAAATTGGTAGTGGTAACACACTTTCCGAAAATATGAACGTGGATTTCTCAACACTAATTCTAGTCAAAAGATAAATAGCCTAACTCACTTCAGCATCTCAGGGACTGACTTGTTACCATCAGGGAATAATGTTGTTGACTGAGAATATGCAGATGATATAATCCTTCTAGGTGAAGACACTGACAAAATGCAGAGTCTTCTAAACATCTTGAGCTGCAATCTGAGAATGGTTGGCATGCGATTCGTTCTGCCAAATGTGAGATCATGCTAAAGGACTGGACCATATTGACTCCTAGCTTAGGGATAGGGAATGAAGTGGTAGAGCACGTTGACTGCTTCGCTTATTAGGTAAGTCACATCAGCCCCAACGGGTTGATCGTTGACGAAATCTCAGAACGAATACAGAAGGCTAGTTTCGCATTTTCCAATTTACACCGTCTCTGACGTAGACGTGATATCCGACCGGCTATCGACCAAAGGGCATGTGTACTATTCAGCACTCCTCTCCGTCCTCCTTTATGGCTGTTAGACCTGGCCATTGAGAGTGGAAGATATGAAAAGACTACCTGTCTTTGATCATAGATGCCTGCTTTCTATCTCCCGTGTAAAGTGGCATAATAGGGTGAGCAATGTAGAGGCTAGGCATCGGTCGAGTGCTAGCTAAGGAGGGGAAATCAATAAACGAGGCTGTGAAGTTACATCAATTGAGATGGGTAGGACATGTGTTATGCATGCCTGGCCATCGCCCTCCTCGATGGGCAATGTTAGCTGACTCAGGGTCAGGCTGGAAAAGAGCCAGTGGTGGTCGAACCAAAACACGGCATCAGTTAATGAAATCCACAACTGTTAGTTCAAGCCACGTAGGAGGGTGTAGACTTCCTGGTTGGCGTCCTTGGGACGGTGAAAGCCAATGAAGGCTTGAGACAATTGGTGATATGGCTCAAAATTTTTCTCAATGGCGCAGATGCATCCACTCCTTGTGACTTATAATTTTCAATAAAACTATAACATTTTTCGATATTACTATTCCTTTGTTTCATATCCCTGTTTACTGTCTCTATTATGCATTTCTTCTACTTTATTCTCTTGCTTTGTGTGCTACATGGAGTGTGGAGACTTGAACTGCTGCACATTGGTGGAAAGTTCTATGTTGAAACCAGTCAGTCAGTCAGCAAATAGGCTTTGACTTATGAGAAATAAATCACACCTTAGCAACCTGTTGAGATTCAATAGTTGTAACCATCAAACTTAAGTATTATTATGTGATAGAGAAAGTAAACTTACTGGTAATCACTGGAAGCTTCAAAATGAAAAGAGGGAATCCTACACAAAAATAAGTATGATGAACTACTGTGGACGGACACTGAGTTATATTTTAATCCATTCCAGGCCAGTTCTCAATACAGTTTACAGGAAAGTTCAGCAAACAACATTTAAACGAATGTCTGTCGATTAATTAGAAGAGCAAAAGGTGTTATGTGAGGTCGGCCATTTCAATCACCATGAGATTATTCCAATGAATTTGATCCTCAACAAAATGCCTCCATTAAAATAAAATAGGGGTCTTTATAAAATATTGTTATTATTATTCTCTTGGGTTCCAAGTGGAACACTGGACATGAGTAGCACATCTTCATTCCACCGTGTTCTCTGCGGTCTTTTTCAGTTGGCTCCACTAATGCTCATAAGCTTTCACTTCCTTCTCGTACGATCTCCTCCATTTCACCGTAGGACACTCAAAGAGTCGTTTCCCCTTCATCTTCTCCACTAAAGGTTCATAGCGTACATACAGGTATCAATGTAATACAAATATCGTTTGCTTCGCGATATGTTTTATTTTCGTTTAATGAGCGAGTTGAAGTAGGTTGACATATTGAAAATAAATGCGTCAGGTAACGTGTTATCTAAAACATTCGAAGCGACACTGAACTCTACTTCCACAAAATAGTATCCATGACAACTCTAATGCACGCGAATTTATAAATTTTCTGAGATGTTCATTTCTATATTTCAGTATAAAAATTTCAACAATCAGAATATAACTGATTAATATGCCACATTAGTTGAATAAAAATGCATAAACTGCTCAAAAGAATTAGAATGTTAAAGAAACCACAAAAGACAAATGAAAACACCTACGTATTTTCCACCAATACAATAACATTAGGACTTTATATTTTGTATTTGGGCCCATTAAACGAGGGATAATCATTATTTTTCCCCATTGGTTTAGATCCGCACTAAAGTGTTGTTTTCCGGGTCTATGGTGAAATTCAGAATTAAGCTCCTCTTGCCATCTAGCAGTTTGACATGTAACAATTTGATCCATTACTGTGCAATTAAATACTTGATTTGTTTCCCTAACTAATGACAGCTGGCTGTCATTATGCCTGTCCATATTAAACCATTCTCGATAATACACGCCCCTTACACTTCACTAGAGCTTTATGGTTTTACATCATGCATATAAGTAAATCAAAACGATTTCATACATTGAGTAAAGTGAAGAATTATTAGGATATAGGTTTGCGCAATTAGAGTCAGGTGGAGTGGACATTAGCCCATCAGCATCTTTGAAATTTTGCAGCCTGTAATAAGAAGCCATGCACCTATGAGGATGGTACTGGTGTTGATAATTCCTTAACATCCTGATGCGTTCTTACGTCACACTTAGCTTTAGATCACACAGTGTACCCTAGAAAAACTAATTGAAGGATAGCATTTTAAAGGAAAACTTTCACTTTCATTTGTAGTGACCCATTTTATCATTCATCATCGTAGTATACTTTCAATATGTAATTGGACTTTGATTTGTTTATCACTCTAAAGATTGCATGTTAATAATCGGTACATTGTACTCGCTCAACTTTTGAATTTTGACTACTGAGAAAATACACGTTCGCACTCCTTCTCAAGTGCCTTTTGATTTACGTTGTGGATGTCGAGTAAGCACAATGTTTTTATACAATAACAAACGCAAAGAAGTATTAGGATATACGTGAACTCTAGTTTGGTCAAACAGAGCAACACAACACATTGTCTCTGTGATTGTATTTGAAGCCTCTCTCAGTGTGTCTAAAAAAGTCATACACACTACACTGAATACGAGTTTGGTGTGAAGACATTTGGAACTAGTCGTATCGGTGATCAAAATGTTGCAGGACGTTATCTTGAAATCTTATGGTCCCAAATGTATCACAAATGCCATTTTAGTTCCACCTTCAGAAAGTAATTCGACTTATCAGCAACCCGAATTAAGACCTAACCTGGTGAGCCCATTTCTTCTTGCTGCAATTATACCATTGATGAAAAGAAGACGAAAAAAGCTCTCTGGTCACCTGATTTAATTTATGAAATTTCAAATGAAGCTTAATGTATCTGTAGCGGTAAATAATTCCCCAAAATTATTAACCACAGCAATCATCACTCAACATTGGATGCTGACCATCACTGTTTAAGTCGACTTGTTTAGCTGAAGGCTTACGGTCAAGCATCCCCGCCATTTGGTGCTCTTCGTCGTGTCACGTGCGTGCACGATTACTAGCTAGCTAAGCATTCATTCCTACCCGCGATTTGGTCCCAAAATATATATCGTATTTGGACGACAAAATCTGGTCTTTTGCTTTACCATTTGGTACTCGAAGAACGAACACTATAGTGGTTGTTGGTATAAGATCTTGCGTTAGTATAATCCGTACAACTCGCGAACGTCGATACCCGTCAACACTAAACTGGTGAGCCCAACCACGAACTACAGGCAGTCACCTAAACTGGTGAGCCCGACCACGAACTACATCTTCAATTCACACGCAGATAAACCCGGTGAGTTCGTTCCTTTTTGTGTTTATTCTTGTACTATATTGTTATTGGCATACTTTTCGTCATGAGTGATCCTAGCCCCAAGGTTATTCAGATTCGCTCAACCGCCAAAACAATTCAGCTAGTACCATTTTGGCCAGATAATGCTGAAACGTGGTTTCAGATTGCTGAGTCTGATTTTTGTGAACATGGCATAACCGATCAACGTTCACAGTTCCTTGCAGTTATTCACGCCCTACCGCGGGAATTCAGCAGGTGCGTAACTCTGCAGATGTCGGTAAGTAACTCGTACGAGTTGTTAAAAGCATCCATCCTCAAGAGAAACGTTCTCACAGATCGACAACGTCTGGATGAGTTATTTCGAAACATCGAGTTAGGAGATCAGTCATCCGTGAGCATGCTGGCAAGAATGAAAGAGATCATTGGCCAAAGTCAGTTCGATGAAGGACTGTTTAGAGAACTATTTATATCCAAACTGCCACAGTCAGTTCAGACTGTACTTGTGACACTTCAGGGTGTTCTCATAGATGATTTAGCTGTCTCTGCAGATAGAATTCTAGAGATAACGAAACGGCCAGTTACCGAAGTATACTCAGTTACCGAACAGGCTTCGAAGAAGGATTCGGCAATGATAGAGTTAATCAACTCCGTCCAGCAGATGCTTAGGTCAAACAAGCCTAGCAATTCCTCCTACCGTCGTTCCAAATCCCCTCAACGGCTAAACGTACGTGGACGATCTAAGTCCAACACACGTTCTCTCAAAAATCCTGACTGGTGTTGGTATCACAACACCTATGGCAAGGAAGCAAAATGTTGTCGAAAACCTTGTGATTTCGACAAAGCCTCCAAGTCTGTGGGAAACTATCCCGCCGGCACGCGTTAGCGGCAACCGTCGCCGGTGGCACTAGCCGCTTACTTTACATCCATGATGTAATTAGCCAGACTAGATATCTAGTCGACACAGGCGCCGAAGTCAGCGTCCTTCCTGCTACAGCAGCAGATCGACAGAAGGATCCTAACTTCAACCTACAGGCTGCAAATGGAAAACCAATTGCAACCTATGGTCGGAAATACGTCTATCTGAACGTAGGTTTACGCAAACCTATTCGGTGGATTTTTCTGATCGCTGACGTCACAATGCCCATCATCGGCACGGACCTACTTAATCATCATGATTTGCTCGTAGACGTCCGCCGTAAACGATTAATTGACAACACTACTAGTTTGTCTATCAAAGGCATAACTTACGTAGGCCCCAGCTTGTCAATCGTTAAGATGAAAGCAATCCTCGATCCAACTTTTCAACCGATTGTTGATAAATATCCGGAACTGAATTGCCCATCTAACGACCTCCCGTGTATAACCAGCAATGTTATGCACCACATCATAACCTCAGGACAGCCCGTGACATCTAAAGCACGACGACTGGCCCCTGATAAACTGAGAATTGCCAGAAACGAATTCGATCATATGCTCACCCTTGGCATCATTCGACCATCGAATAGTCCATGGGCATCCCCGTTGCATATGGTACCGAAAAAGGATAGCAACGATTGGCGACCCACTGGTGATTACCGGCGAGTGAACGCCAAAACTACCCCCGATTGCTACCCATTGCCTCACATACACGACTTGACGGCAACGTTATCTGGAGCATCTATATTCTCCAAAATCGACTTGGTTAAAGCTTATAACCAAATCCCCATGGCAACGGAAGATATTCCGAAAACGGCTATCATCACGCCTTTCGGACTTTTCGAATTTCTACGTATGCCATTCGGCCTCCGGAATGCGGCCCAAACATTCCAACGCTTCATAAACGAAGTATTTCGCGGTCTCGACTTTGTATACGCATACTTAGACGACTGCCTCATTGCCAGTCCAGATAAGGAAACTCACCTTAGACACTTGGACTTGGCATTTGAAAGGTTACGCCAACATGGTGTTACCATCAATATACAGAAGTGTCAAATAGGCGTTGACTCACTCGATTTTCTGGGTCACACTATTGACTGTCAGGGCATTCGCCCACTGGCTACTTCGGTCGATCACTCTAAGAAAACGCGTTCTGGACGTCACGTTAGATTCCCAGAATACCTTCACACCTATCTCACATAACTGAGTGACACATCAATTTTTTTTATGTTGCGTCATTTAACACAAGTAAATGATATTTTTCCTATAACCGTACATAAAAGTAAATTAGATGTATATTTTTTTCCCCCGATATTTTGAACTTTACATTATTTTACTGTATAGTAGATGCATGTCATTTTTTTTTGGTAAAAAACGCTTATTTGGTACATTTTTCTTGACAAGGTTCTCAGCATTCTTGTTTTCTTTTCCAGGTGCAACGGGCACTGGACAGGAAACAGACGAAGCACGGGATCCAACGAACAACACTGAGGAAGCTATGTACAGACACCCTATTAGCATAGGCAGACAGACCAGCAGGCTCTCAATCAAGCCGCTCGGAAGATTTTTTTCACCCATAAGGGAACCATCGAGATTTTTTTACTTCCGGCTGGTCATGTCTTAGGGTCCTCACAAACCCACTAGGGGGGGAGTGAGCTGTAGCGGTAAATAATTCCCCAAAATTATTAACCACAGCAATCATCACTCAACATTGGATGCTGACCATCACTGTTTAAGTCGACTTGTTTAGCTGAAGGCTTACGGTCAAGCATCCCCGCCATTTGGTGCTCTTCGTCGTGTCACGTGCGTGCACGATTACTAGCTAGCTAAGCATTCATTCCTACCCGCGATTTGGTCCCAAAATATATATCGTATTTGGACGACAAAATCTGGTCTTTTGCTTTACCATTTGGTACTCGAAGAACGAACACTATAGTGGTTGTTGGTATAAGATCTTGCGTTAGTATAATCCGTACAACTCGCGAACGTCGATACCCGCAGCCTCTAAATATCCATTGGTTTCCTTCGGCGAGATAGTGTTAACAGTGGCCACTTAAGAGCCTCCAGTCGATGTTAGGGATTTTGTGATTCCTGCCGGGGTGATTCATTAATAAAGTTGTCTGATTGTGTACAAGAGTCTTCTTCCAGATGCTTGCTGACGATGTTTTGCGTTATTTTTCTTGTCTCCAGTAACGCTGAGTGTTTGCTTGGAACATTTTATTAATTCCGTGGTGCCCAAATTCATGATGTAACTTTCACAAAATCGCTGTTACTAACAACTTAGGGACTACAACACTCCTGAAGCAATTCGGACCTGGTCAAATGCATAAGATACCATTCACAGTCACTAGCCCGTCCCATAAGGCCCAAAATACCTGGTCTCTTAACTCTTCCTCTTTACATCAACCTCAGACGGTCCCTCAGTTTGATTCGACAGAGCAGTGGTCGTGGTCTCAACGCTTGTAGCTTGAATATGTGCCCACTGGTCTCCACTCAATCCTGACAACGGCATAGCACAAATATCAATTTTCCCGGTTGAAGGGGCAGTTTCCATACTCTCTGTCTAGACAACGCGTCAGTATTTGCATATCGCTTGCCAGGACAGTACATACATTTAAAATCGCTTTCCCTCAGAAACCCTTGCCAACTGGCGGTCTGAACTTCAGGGTCTTTAAAGTCTTGTAACCACTGAAGTGCTCTGTAATCTCTTCTAAGCAAAATAGGTTTGCCAAGTAGATGAGGCCGATGCTTACGAATGAAGTTAACAGCAGATAATATCTCTTTCCTAATGATGTAGCAATTCTTTTCTGCCAAGCTCAATATGGGACTGCCGTGTTCCATAACATGTTTTTTCTTATAGCTACCGACTCAGATAATACGGCTCCAATGGCTGTTTGACTCGCATTAGTGTATAAGATATACTCACTGACCGCTGGAGTTGCATTTGGCATGGCTGAATTGGGCAAAGAGCATATCGAATAGTGGGTGAAAAGCACGATCACAATCCTCCGACCATACGAAGAGGATACTTCTTCTGGTTAACTTTGTCAAAGGACCTGTAATTTCAGAATAGCTTCTCACAAAATGACGACGATATGAAGCAAACCGCAGAAAACTATATAACTCGTTTACAGACTTCTGTACCGGCCACTCTCTAACGGCTGTAACCAAACCCAGGTCACTTTGTTTTCGGTTCATTCCGGCTACTTGCCTCAGGGGTGCCACTTCGTTGCTAAACGGACGACTTTTAGTGGGCTTTACCTTGAGCTCTAAGTCCTTCAAATATTCGAAGACCATGCGCAGCCTTTCGATGTGTTCTCCGAAAGTGTAACTGAACATAGTGATATCGTCTAAATATACCATGCAGACTTTGCGGACTAGTCCCTTAAGTACCGTGTGCATCAGCCTTTGAAGAATCTCTGGTGCATTACTTCAAATGAAAGGCGTGGCCTGGAATTCACATAACCCTGTAGGTGTAGTAAAATCAGTCTAATATCGGTCATGAGGGTGGACCTCAACCTGCGAATATCCCGAAGTTAAATCAAGAAGGGAAAGCCAGACAGCGCCTGATGATGCTTCTAGAATTTCGTCTATCGTTGGAAAGGGGTAAACATCTTTAAGTGTCGCTGATTTTAATTTTCTATGATCAACACACTAACAAAAGCGTCAACTATTTTCAACTCGGACTATAGAAGAAGCCCAAGGGGAACGTGATGGTAACACCATCTTTTTCTGCAACATTCTCCAATGTTGCTTTTCAAGATAAATCGGTGGAACTTGGAGAGATGCTTGTCTTAATGGAGCACAGTTTCCAGTGCCAGTTGTATGCTTGATAGCTGTTGTTCTCCTCAGGTCACGAGAATACCTCAGAAAGATCTGACATTAGCTGACGTACGTCCTCTTTGTGTTTCTGAAGAATCTAGGTTAACACTTCCTCCATCACGTTCAACTGCAGATGTGGTATTACTGTCTGACCCTAGCCGTAAAGCAGAACGGAGTGAGAGCTTGAAATTAAGTATAGATTGAGGTCTTGCAGATGAGTATATCACAATCCACAATCGAGTCCCATGAGGTTCAATAATTACCAAACAGGGATGCCATATGTGGTCACTAGTACCTTGCCATAATATTCACAGTTCGCTGAGTATCCTATGCTGGACCAATTGCTCACTTGGGGATGTAGGTGAAGAGTGGGTGTTAGTAGTTTGCCACTACAATATCTAACTGATAACAGCGTGCTAGCTGCACCGGAACCTACTAAGCCGGTGAAGGTCTCGCTTTGGAATCCTACCAAGATAGTTGGCAAATGATTAGCTACAGATGGGCCCTCTGATGTCTGCATTAAATTAGGTACAACAAGTTGAGACTTACCATTTTCTCCTGAAACGCGAGGATTCGTCCGGCCCACCACTGATCGTGATTGTCCTGCTAAATGTCTTGGGGTGTGGGAAGATATGGAGAACTATCATGGTCTCCACTCTTGATGTGTGGGGGTTTCCTTGACATGCTGGAGAGATGGCATTGGTCCTCTCGGCAGTGACACCATACATGACCATTTCATTCCTGCTAGGTTCCTGCTAGACTTTTGGAGCGACTCTTTCGCCCTCGTAATCTCTAGAGCCCCTGCTGGTAATGTGGGGCTAATTCCAGTGACCGTTCGTCTCACCTTATCTGGCAGCAGCTCCTCTTTGAACTGAAGTACAAAATGCAAACTGATGTTTCCTTGAGAGGCCCCATTAAAGGCTAAGAAAGCTAGTTCTTGTAAACACCGAAGGTACTTCTCGGTAGCTTCCCCACGGCGTCGGATAAAATGGTCAAAGGCTGCTTGGTGCTCTATGACGTGTCAATGCGGAGCTAATGCTCAACGTACGAACGTAAGCAATCTTTCCAAATCAGCCGCCTCTGAAACATTTATGACAGCCACCTCGAGAAGTGAAAGCTAGCATATCGCAGCAGTAGCTATTTGGCCTTCATCAAACTGTTTTATGTATCACCGGTAATTCCCCTTCCCACGTTGTGAATGACTTATCCTGAAAAAACTTGTCTGGTGCGGTTCATTTCCCTTTCGGTCTGCTGGTCTTCGAGTGTTCTCTCTTGTCAGCTATCGTCAAAGCCATCTGGGCTGCTGTTGCAGTCGCCTGCAATAAATCTATCTGAGTTGAAGAGATAGGCGGTTTGAATGAGCTTGGTGATAGCTCTGTCGACGGAGGTTTCTCGTCTTACTGATGTGCAGATGAGCACATATCATCAGTGGACTCCAGACTCTCGACATCTCATTTTGACTGAAACGAGGTTCGCAGGCTTATAATGTTCTGTAAAAGAAAATGCGTACAACTAGATATCAAACATGCTACAGCAAACTGTAACTGCAAAACGGAACACAGATGTCTGTTGAAACACTTTATCGATAGTAGCAATCCCAGTACAAGAGTGGCGATAAAGTTCACACCAAGGAACAGCTGGGTTGTTGCTGTTCACCAGCCACCATCTTTGGAACTAGTGTCTTCTTCATGATTGGAACCGCCATAGAGAAGGCAAGTTTAATATGTGCGTGATCACATTTCGCTACCCAAGTAAGAAGTTGAATAGCCAAAAGAATAAAAATCGGAAAAAATACGATGCACCATGCTAGGCATACATTCGTTTAGTTCGCTGATGACTGCAGGCTGTCACCGTAAAGTGCCTTCGTGACGCAACGATAGAATGCTCGCTAACCACGCATGTGGTCCGTAGTTCAACCCCTAGCCGACGTACTCCTTTACCTCTCCAAGCCGGTAATAAGATTGGTAAAGAGGGAAGGTTGGGTATGAAGTTAGTGACCACATCCCGTCAAAAAAAACACCACTGCTATCGAAAATTCGAAGCTCTGGCTTGAAGCCCTATGCTCCACTGAGAACACAAAGAAATAAAAAATTGCCGTAAAATGTTCACGTAGAGATAGAATGCTGACAACGCATGTGGGCTAAGCATGGATAATGGTTCCGGCAGCAAATGATTGAGTGTAAGTGATGTATTATCATCGTCCACATTACTCTAAAGGGTATGATAATCAAAGTTCCAGCACAAACTTAGTCTGCGATTGATCCATAGCATTTCAAAATGTTATGATATTTTGAGGCTTGTGCAAGATGGTATAAGCTAAACAGACAGCAAATTTTCTAGCATTTTATATCTCAACCCTGCAACTGACAGGCTCACCAACTAGGGAGAATCATGTTTGGTGAAAGAGTCACAGAGAACTAGAAAAATGTAAGAGGTGGCCTGCTTGAAACTTGAGCTAACAAAAACTTCCATCTGTCTACCGCATACATTTTTTTCTCGTTCAGTTTGTTTTAATCAA